TAATACTCTGATGTAAAATTTGTTTTAATGATAAGATGTTAATTACAAATGATCAAATGATCAATTAAATCGTTTCACTCAAAATGATTTAGTTCTACCTATAATATTGATTACTGCCAATCAAACAAGCCAAGATATAGAGAGAGGTGTGTAATATATTTATTCAGCCCTTTTCCAAACCCTAACTCAGAGAGAGATGTTCACTCATTCGTTGCTTATCAGTTGCCAATCTCAAATCACTGTCTTCTTTTAAATCTCTTCCAATATTCAATACACTCTGATCATGTCATTCATTTCGATTTGCAGACATGATTGTCTGTGACAGGAATTTCTATGCGACACTCCACTACATACTACTTATAAGCTAGACACTGTGCTGCAACCATAATACTAGTATTGTGGTGCGCGCTACTTATAAGTAGTATATGACGCGAGTGAAGACGTAATGTCTGGCAGCACCCGACTGGAGCTACTGTTCGTGTCATCAGCTGACGAGTCACCTTCGCCAGTTCACCGATATCCATAGGTCGCGCTGCGTTTACTAGTCTCAGCTAGTGGGACAAGGCGGCAGGCACACTCTCGATAAACTGCGACGCCAACAACTGTGCCTCCGACTCCTCACCGATATTCGGCAGAGCACGGTTAATTTGCAAAACATCAATCAATCATCAATCCATTGTCTGACATTTCACTTATTCATGCGTTTCATACAAATTCCATTGTGTTCCCACTCTTCCTCCCTTTCTTGATCTTCCCCCATCTTCTGCTGACAGACATTACGTTGACACTCGTGTCATATACTACTTATAAGTAGCGCGCACCACACTAGAACGAAACAGCCATCTAGTGCTTCCAGGTTTTCTGTGATAACTTAACATTGATTAATTTCTGATTTCAATTCTACTCTATTATTCATTGATATTCATTCAACATGACAGATGTACTAATACTTAACAGAGTAAGAATAATGTCTATAAATATTTCAAACCTATGCAATCAATCAGAACTTTAAGAAAATAAACTTTTTTCAAGAATATAAATGACCGATTCTTAATTTCAGCAATAAACAACAATCTCCTTAACTCTCTATAATGAAAAAACTGTACAATGTTCTCACTAGTGGCTAACTTTGTGAGGAAATTCATGGAGTTCTAGTCAGTCAGTCAGTCAGATGCGACGTAGAACTTCGTACGTAAGTACATCAGTTCATGTCGCCATACCATATCAGCACAGAGATATAACTGTCAATTCAAATCCACTAGAACGGAGTTCTAGTGAGAAGACATGACCAGTGGAGTTTGACTCTATCGGGTGCACTCAGTCATTAACGAAGACAAATGGATGAAATTGCACAAAAATACCTAGAGTTAGACATTAACTCTGTTGGATGCTGGCCCAGTGGTCTAGAGAATAGGCGTACGCGCTCAAGGCCAATTAGTCCGGGGTTTGAATTCTGTGAGTAGCAAGAGTCATATGGATGCTCACTGTTGATGAGTCTTATATCAGAACAAAACGACTGTCCAGTGCTTTCTAGGTTTCTAATGGTAGTTTAACACTGATCAATTCATAATTTTAATGATAATCAACAATCTCCATAACTCTGTGATGAAAAATAATATCCATTAGACAAAATTACATAATATGAAACTTGTCTGTATGGTTATCTTGAATGTAACCTACTTTACTTACTTATGGCTGTTTTTCCTCACTGTAGCATAAGCCACCGACCAGTATTTTCTAACCTACACTGTCCTGCGACTTCCTTTCTAATTCTATGCAACTGGTGTTCATTCCTCCCATATCTGTCTCCTTTCTGTCGGTGTAATGTGTTCTTTGATCTTCATCTTATCCTCTATCCCTCAAGATTCCAAGTGACGGTTTGTCTTGTGATGCAGTTGGCTGCTTTCTGTAATGTGTGTCCTATCACAACCAGCTCTTTTTCCAGTGAAAGTTTGTTCGTTCTCACCAACAGCAGGTTGTTTCCGATAGTGTCTGATCAACATACCCGAAGTATCTCCTAATGAATACTTGTATATTGAGGATGAATGACTTCGTAGTTCTCCAAGTTTCCGTCCCATACAGTAAAACAGTCTTGACATTTGCATTGAAAATTCTGACCTAAAATTTGATTGATAGTTGTTTTGAGTTCCAGATTTTCATCAGTTGTATGAATGCTGCCCTCGCTTACCCAATCGTCTCCTTCACATCCGCATCAGATCTAGCTTGTTCATCGCTGATGATGGCCAGATATGTAAAGGTTTTTACATCGTCCAAAGCTTCACGTTCAAGTGAGATTTGGTTATTGTTCGTTATGTCGTATCTAAGGATCTTGCTTTTTCTTTTGGGTATATTAAGACCTACAGCCGCAGAGGCTACCGCTACACTAGTCGTCTTCTCCTGCATTTGTTGCTGCATGTGCGACAGAAGTGCTGCATCTTCTGTGAAGTCTAGATCGTCCATCTGCCTAGAGCTCTTCTTGGGCTACTGTCCAGAAAAAGACGAAGGGTTGAAAGTGGGGTCATTGACCCCATCCCGTAGAAAAGTAACTCGCTAAAAAAAATTCTAGGCAGCTTAAATATTACGTCATTCAATAATGAAGGCAGTTAACGTGAATCCTGATGTGAAAATGAATCCGATAGGTGAAAAATCAATGACCTATCATGAATCATTTTGAATTATTATTTGAAGATGTTAGATCTTTTAATAAATCACTTGATAAACTATTTATTTTTGTGATTTCTTGATAGAAATTTGAATATTTTGTTATTGCCACACTCAATAAACGTTCATTTTCACCGTTAGTTTGTATTTCCCCATCGGGGACGATCTTATTGGTTCCTTTTTCGCGCTTAGTACGCTATTTTGTGACCTTTTTCAAGGCCATTTTTATATCGCTTATATTACTAAGGAATCAAGTGCTTGCTATCGGTTCTTCTAGACTTCTTGAAGATCAATTTCTTGCTTACTCTTAGCCTCTTCTTCTAGTTGACTGGGCTGGTGGAGCTCAAAGGAATATATAGCTTCGTTCTGTATCATTTCGTTCGACGGTACTATAGTATAATTTTAAATATCCTTAGACATAACAATTATTTAGTTTTATCTATCAAAAAGAGTTCTACTGAATGGGATGGAAACTTGGAGTGCAATACCTTGAAATGATTAAAGTTGGATACTGACTCAGTGGCTTTGGCGCACAAGACCAATGGTCCTCGGTTGGATTTCCAAGAGCCGGAGGTCATGGATTTGCGCCGTCAACGTAGTGAAGGAGAACACAGGTGAGGGCAACCGAATTGTATTGAACGAAAATTACAGAGTTACTCAGTAAAATCGGAAAACCATATCGTAAATCGTTAGTTAATTTGCAAATCTTCAATCCATCATCAATCCATTGTCTGACAGTTCACTATTCATGTGTTTCATACAAATTCCATTATGTTCCCACTCTTCCTCCCTTTCTTGATCTTCCCCCTCATCTTCTGCTGCCAGACATTACGTTTACACACGTCATATACTACTTATAAGTAGCTCGCACCACAATACTAGGACGAAATGACCATTCAGAGCTTTAAAGTTTTTCTAATAGTAGTCTAATAATGATTGATTCCATGATT